ACACCATCGGCGCCATGCCATGTTGGACCAGCGCCCGCGCCACCTGCCACCGTCTCATAGTAGCCCCACTCCTCACTTACATTTTTAATTATTTTTGGAGTAATTTTTATTTTATTTTTTTTATATTTTATTTCATTTAATTTTTTTAAATTTCATTTATTTGTTTATAACTTTCCAGTTAAAATAATTTTTATATTCTGCAACCTTACCTCTTCACCCACACTAATTCACACATTTCTCAAACAATAAATCAAATTAAATCTATACGTTTATCATAAATAACAATCAAAAAAACGTTATGCAAATTCTGTAAGAAAAAATTGTGCTGTAAGTTACAACAAAAGTATGCATTGTTCACATGTCAAAATGCAATWACATGTACATACGTGCAAGCAAGCATGCCATTGTGCGTGTCTGTATGTATTACATAGAATCAAATAAAATTTAACTAGTGGTAGAATTCTATTATTTGAAAAGTAAAAACTTCCATACATAAATTCTCAGAAAGAAATTTAATAAGCAGCTTTTTCTTCGCAAAAAACARATGAATGAAAAGAAGGTAAGTGTGGAACATAAAATTTTGTGGCGGATATAATTTCCATTGCATACCCAAAGGCGCCGGATATTGCAGCAGTTTTTATGAAATTTTTATCTTTTTAATAAAATGGTTTCATAAAATATTATACAGACGAGCCACAGAGTATTGTASTTTTGTTCACCTAACAGTTGTACGTATCACCTAAAACTGAAAAAATGTTCGAATTTAAAAGTTTTGGACACGGAATAATTAGCGAAATAAATGGAAATCCTTCCACACCTAGTTTCAACACCCTCACTTAGGAGAAAGAACCATTTTGATGATTTTGTCCTTAAAATCCGCCGATTTGGGACACATTTTTATTTTTTTAAATTTCTGTGTAAATCCAAATTTAAAATTTCTTTAATAAAAATATGCCCCATGCGATTCTGCAAATTTCTGCATTTTTATATTTTCTCTACGACCAGTAGTTTAGAAGTTATAAGCATTTTTGTATTCGCTTGTATTCAGCGGCTGCTTACTGCATGCTCCTGGTCGCCTGGTAGAAGTCTGAGATTTTGGCACCAAATTGAAAGCATTTTTTCCTGCAGCGGCGCCAGAGACGGTGGCACCGGCGCTRAAAATTTGCGCGGTGGATGGTATAGCATACGCGAAGGGGCGAAATTGGGAATCGGAAGTGCGACATGCGCAGGGACCGGAARTGGAAACATGTCCTCGACCGGAAGAGGGATTACGGTACTAAACTTCCGGTTGGAAAGTTCAACAGGAAGTCACAAAACGGAAACGGATGTAATTTTCATTTCCGGTTATTTCATTTCCGGGTTTTAACATCCGGACCGGGTGTTGTGGAAATTAAATTGTCTAAGCGGATTAGCAAATGAACGGAAGCAAAATCCGTTTCCGGCTCTAAGTCAAAACTAACCGGAAATAAAATTTACATCCGTTTCCGGTCTGTGACATCCGGTTTGACTTTCATTCCGGAAGTGTAGTACCGTAATTTCATTTCCGGTCGGTGGCCGGTTGTCCTTTCCGGCTCGGCCCGTGTATATCCGGCTTCGGTGTTCCCAATTTTGCCCCTTTGCGTATACTATACCATCCACCGTGCAAATTTTTAGCGCCGCTGCCGCCGTCTCTGCCGCCGCTGCAGGAGAAAATGCTTTCAATTTGGTGCCAAAATCTCAGACTTCTACCAGGCGACCAGGAGCATGCAGTAAGCAGCCGCCGAATACAAGCGAATACAAAAATGCTTATAACTTCTAAACTACTGGTCGTAGAGAAAATATAAAAATGCAGAAATTTGCAGAATCGCATGGGGCATATTTTCATTAAAGAAATTTTAAATTTGGGTTTAC